ACACAAAGTGGATTAATATTGTGTACACAGACAGTGGTGGGACATTTATATTGTTCACAGCCTCCTGTTCTCTTAAATAAGGTGCAATAAACACCCTGGCACATAAATCTTGGTGTATATTATTACAATTTCCTTTGAATAAATTCCAAAAAGGAAGCTGTACCAGGGAGGTCACACGTGTTTAATGGCTAGTAACTGAGTTTCCGTGATAGAGGAGGACTTTGGGCAGGAGGTGAAGGCGTAGGTGGAGCTGGCCCACAGCGAAGGCTGGAGAAGCTGCTCCTGTCCTTCTCCTTCATTTGCCTGTTTAATACAGCCCTTCTCTCTCCAGGCTCCCCTGCTCTCTTTCTCCCCATTCACCCTTTAGTTTCTTCACCTTTGGCCTCTTTTGCCATGTCAGCTCTGGCCTATTTCCCTCCTGTGCTCCAATCCCATTCTGTTTCAGGGCTTTGAACCTTCTCTCCATTGCTCAGCCCTCCTTTCTTTGTACCAGCTTCACCCCCAAGTGCCACGTGGTGACAACATGGCTGCAGCAGCCTCACCTTCACACCCTGTCAGATTTGTCTACAGCAAGGAAGAGCAAATGTCTTTTCTAGTGGCTCCCACAATTCCCTAGTGACTCTCTCATTGGATTGATTTAGGTCACATGCTCATCTTTGAACCAATGAGTGTGGCTGGAGAATGCAATTTTTTTTTTTTTAAGATTTTATTGTTTTCCTTTTTCTCCCCAAAGCCCCCCGGTACATAGCTGTATATTCTTCGTTGTGGGTCCTTCTAGTTGTGGCATGTGGGACGCTGCCTCAGCGTGTCCTGATGAGCAATACCATGTCCGTGCCCAGGATTCGAACCAATGAAACACTGGGCTGCCTGCAGTGGAGTGTGCAAACTTAACCACTCGGCCATGGGGCCAGCCCTGAGAATGCAATGTTTTGATTGGCCACATTTGGGCCACTTGTGGGAGCCTTGGAGTTGGGGGTGAAGCCTCACGCAGCCCACAGGAACTAAAAGTCAGTGAGAGGGGGAGCCTTAGATAAAAATTGAGCTCTGCTCTGGGAACAGTGGGAATATCTCGGAAACATCTATCTCAGGAAAAGAGTGAAATGTTCCTTGCATATGGCAGGAGAAAATATGACAAAATGTGTTATATGAAGATTTTTCTTTTAAATGGAATAAGTGTCAGAGTCACACTTAAGGAATGACTGAAAAGAATATTAAGTAAATAAGAAAATTGTGTAGACCCAAATCTGAAAGGCACATATTAGCGTATGTAATACTGCAGGTTTTCTTTTTTCTCTTTAAAGAAAAATCCCTCATGTGTCTTGTAAACACAAAAAGGATTCTAAATGAAGGCCAATCCGGTCTTCCTTTCCACCTCAATTTACAGTGTTAAAAACAATTTTACTATTAACGAGAACGTTTTCAGGGCCAGGTCCTGAGCTAGGTTCTTCACTTATTATTATTTTTAACCCTTACTACAACTCTGCAAAGTAGTTTAATAATCCCATTTTACAGATGAGGAAATTGAGGCCAAGGGAGGTTAAGTCGTTTTCTCAGAGTGACATACTTAGTAACTTCCGCCAAGTGATTCAAGCCCAGCTTGTATCTGCTGGAATATCTCTGCTAAGAAAACATAAAGTTCCCTAAACTTGTGTTTTGTTGAATTTCTGAAGGCTTTTAGGGCTCAAAGTGCTTTTCCACATTCAGAAGCCGCAGCTTCAGCTGCTTTTGAACACCTCAATGGCCCCAGAGACAGAAACAGCACTAAATGGAAAAGGGATCCAGAAGAAGAATTTACAATTTTAGATACTATGTAGACAGAAAGATAAACTACTTGGGTCTTTTCAAATGGATCAAAGCATGCCACACCTAGGTTTTCCAAAAGAATTCTTTCCTATTGATGTGGCTGGATTGGGGCATGTGTGGGCTTCTTAAAAGCATTCTGATGCCATCTTCTGGTAAGGTCAAGGGCTTGGGAACTGAAATGCACAAGAAATAAGCACCCAATGGAACAGCTTGCATTCTATCCTTTTCGCGCCTCCAGTGATTTCTGCAGGCTGAAGTTTCCTTTTAACTTTTGTATCACATTTTTACACTGTTTGACTTCCTGGAACTCTCAGTCACGAGATTTTGAGTTTGAAGCGATAGTTTTTGTTACCCTCTTATCTGCTGCCAGCACCCCTTCTCTGTTACAGAAATTCAGAGCAGGAAAGTTGATGCTCTCATCAACAGGTGAGTCATCAAGAAAACGCTCGAGGTCTCAAAAGCTGATGGTTCCTCTCAAAGCTGGTGAATTCCATGAACAAACAAAGCTCTGTTTGTAACCCTGTCAGATAAGGATGATCTGGAGCGTGTTTTCTGTTTGGTACAGGAAATAATAGGTGGATGACTCCACTTTGTGGAATTTGGCGATCTTCTCTTCAGTCAGTAGCTCTTGTTTTGTTACTCATACTTTAACAGAAAGAAAAGAGGTCTTTGAGAAGACTATGAAACCCATATTTGAATGGGGAAAAGTACGGAAGGAAGCGTGGGATGTGTCCAGAAGACAGACAGTTCATCTCTTTGGCTGGAGCAAGGGGTACCTGGCAGTCAGGAGAGGGTGAGCACCAGTTCAGGGAGGGCATTGAAGGCTCAGCTGAGGAGTTCAGGCTTTATTCTCAAAGTAGTGGGAGCTACTGAGGGTTTTAAATGTGGTGGATCAGAACTGTGTTTTAAGAAGAATAATATATTAGCAATGTGTGAAATGGAATGGAAGATAGAGAGAGTGGAGAGAGAGAAAACTGAGAGAGGTCCACCGTTGTCTTCCAGGCTGAAGAAGGGAGGCAGGAGAGTGTCAGAATGGAAAGATGTCAGGGGGGTGGGGTGGGTGGAGGTACTGCAGAGATAAAAATGACAGGATCAGCGTGGATATGGAAGGGCAAAGATGGTGCCAAGATTTCTGCACTGGGTGAGTGGGAGGATGGTGGTGCCACGCAGAGACATGGGGAGAACATGTGGGAAGCACAAGTTTTTGAAAGAAGAGACTATGTATCCCCTTTTGGACATACTGAGTTTGAGGTGTCAATGGGACTTGTAGGTGGAGGTCTGAAGACAGCTGGAAATGTGTGCCCAGGAGTCAGAGGCTTAAGCTATAAGCTAAGTTTTTAGGCCAGGCTTCAGCTTAAATGAGTCATCTGCATTGAGGAGTCAGTTGAAACCTTAAGACTCTTTGAGAACCTGGGAGGTTTCCAAGGGAGCAATCAAAACTAAGGTGCTTGAAGAATCCGGACTTAGAGGACAGGAGAGAAAGGGTTAGAGAAATAGTCAGACCAGAAGAGAACAGAGGTTTGGGAAGCTGAGGGAAGAGTTTTAAGAAGGGAGTGGTCAGCAGCGTCCACTTTGGTAAGGGGGCTGAGAGGGTGGAGGATGGAAGCTAATGATCTTTGAGAGAACAGGACGGGGTGAGGGCCAAAGCCAAATTAGAAAGCATTGGGAAGGAAGTGGGCATAATGAATGCCACTGAATAGTACATTTAAATATGGTTAAAATGACATTTTATGTCATATTTTACCACAAAAAAACTAAGTCAGAGAAAAATATAAATATTTTAAAAGTCATATTGTTCTCTACACTTTTTTCTTGAAATATATCATAATAAATCACTTTAAAAAGTAAGTAGAGGGCCTGGGGCTGTGGCCAAGTGGTTAAGTTCGCATGTTCTGCTTCAATGGCCCAGGATTTCACCAGTTTGAATCTTGGGCCCGGACATGGCACAGCTCATCAAGCCATGCTGAGGTGGGTCCCATATGCCACAGCTAGAAGGACCCACAACTAAAAATAAACAACTATGTACCAGGGGGGCTTTGGGAGGAGAAGGAAAAATTAAATCTTTAAAAAAAAAAAAGTAAGTAGAGAAAAAATTAAGTGGTAAGTCAGAAATGGAGGTAGCAAATACAGACTTTGGAGAAGTTTGATTTCTGAGTGAAGGAACAAAAGGATGGATGGCACAGCTGGAAAAGGTAACAGGATAGAAAGAATTTATTTTTCTTTTTTTCCTCCCAAAAGCCCCAGTAGATAGTTGTGCATTCCAGTTGTAAGTCCTCCTAGTTCTTCTGTGTGAGCCTCCACCACAGCATGGCTACTGACAGACGAGTGGTGTGGTTCCGCCCCTGGGAACCCAGCCCAGGCCACCGAAGTGTGCTGAACCTTAACCACAAGGCCATCAGGCCTGGCCCTATTTTTCTTTTGATGAGGCAACTTGAGCATGTTTCTAGATTGAGTGTGAGGATCCAGAGGGAGGGAGAGAATGAAGATGGGGGTGTGCAGTGAGTCGACTGGTGGTGTCCAAAAAGATATGTGCACATCCTAACCCCTGGAACTGTGAATGTGACCTTATTTGGAAAGAGAGTCTTTGCAGGTGTAATTAAAGGATCTTGAGATAAGATCATCTGGATTATACAGTGAGCCCTAAATCCAGTGACAAGTGCCCTTGCAAGAGTCAGAAGAGGAGACAGAGAGAGGAGGAGAAGCCCATGTGAACAAAAAGGCAGAGATGGGAGTGATACAGTCACAAGCTGGGGAGTGCCTGGTGTCTCCAGAAGCTGGCAGGGGCCCGGAAGGATTCTACCTTATAGCCCCTAGAGGTTATGGCCTTTCCATACGTTGGTTTCAGACTTCTCCCCTCCAGAACTGTGAGAACACATTTCTATTGCTTTAAGACACTATGTTTGTGGGATTTGATACAGAAGCCTAGTAGACTAATACGGGGGTGGGGACTCTGGGGTGCAGGGGAGGATATTTGGCCATAGCCTGGGGTCCTGACACAGACCTGGGGCATCTTATTGTCTGTGTCCAGCCCAGGGCCTGCACGGGCCAGCACTTAGTTATTAGTATAGAAACTTTGGGCTCAAATAAACAGAACAGGATTTCACTCACAGAAATAATTTCCCTTTGTCTTCATTTTTTCCTTTCTCTTTCCCACTCAATTTTAGAAAATCAACCAAGATTACAGTACTGATGTCTCTCTCTCCCACCTTCCATCTTTTAAGCTGTGACAGTGGAGCCAACGTGGTCCCCAGGAGTTTCTAGGGAAGATCATCCCTGGGAGCTTGCACCTGGTGCTTGTCCCCACAGACCAAGTGACAAGGGGGCCTGTGACCAAGCTGGGCAGCAGGTGGCAAAGGGGAGAGCTCTGGGGAGGCCTGGAGATGGGCCCTCCATCTTAAGTGCTCTGCATGTCAGCTGCTGATTTCGACTATCCCAGTCCTTCTGACTTCCAGTGACAGAGGGGATCTCACGGGGAGGTGGGCTCCCAGCAACCAGGGAGAGATGACTGTCCCTTTAGTCGATTCTCTCCTGTGTTTGAGTGAGCCATTTATTCCTTGCCCAGCATCCTGACCCATATGGGTGGAAAAGCCTTTCTCAGGGAGAAGCTGGAAGCTCATACAGTGCCTGAGAACGGGAGAGATGGTGCCGCACAGCGAAGCCTCCAGAAGCCTGAGCACACACAGTGGGTGCCCAATAACCTCTTTCGCTTTTATGTCTGTAAAAGAAACTTTGCTCTTTTTTAACTTAACCCATATCCCATTCCACTTCCCACGTGGAGCGTCTCATGATTGCAAGACTACCGAAGTAATTAACAATTTTCAAATGCAGGCCTTGCTGAAGAGCTTCTGGATAAGACCTTGGAATCTGTACCCCCGAGGGCTCCGGAGCAGGACTCCAGCTGGGCGGTGTGAGACTTACTGTCCTGATGTGGGTGGCAGTTTAGAATAGGGACTGTTTCATTTCATTAACAGAGCAAAGCATGCTGTCAGCAGGCAGCAATAGCCACAGGACAAGATGCAACCAAATCAGAGTCTGAAACCTCCTGTCCCGGCCACAAGCAAGCTCTTCCCCCTTAGGATTCTTCAGGAGAAAGCCAGTTGTGAGACAAGGAGAACCCCCTCGAAGAGGAATTATGTGGACGTCTAAAGTGTTCTAAGCATTCAGCTGCCTTAAAACTACCCCAAACACTGTTTGCTACAAAGCAGAATTCAGTGTCCAGAGGGGTGTCCTGGACTCCACCCAGGAGGTTTAGTTTTTGAAGAGCCTAAAGGATTCCCAGCGTCTCTCTGGGGTGAGTGTGAGAGCCGGATTCCAAAGGCTTATATTGCGCCTGGATGTTTTAACACCCTGCTCAACGAGTATTTAACAGAAATAAAAGATTGTTCAGCTGGAGTCGACGTATCTGAGGCAAAACTTTCTTAAACCCCACTAATGTACAACCTCAATCCACAACTGGATTCAATTACTGCGTGGAAAGAAAGGCATTTTCTCATAAAGCTGCTCTGTTTCCGTGCCTGGCTGTGAGCTGGGTCAGCCATGACAAAGACAAGCCTGTGCGTTGTTTTTGGTTGTTTTTCTTTTCAAGCTCTTCCACTGGTACTGCCAGGCCCCAAGCTGTTTGGAGCAGTTATGTGGGGGCCAGTTTACTTGTCTTGGCTTTCGGCCTTTCTGTCCAGAGTTGATGATAGAAGAACAAGCTGGTGTCCTGCGTGCCCAGTGGAATTGAGGGGCTACACTGCGTGAGTCTGCGGTTGCACTGTGCCCGGGTGTCCCTTAGGAGCAGTATTTATGAGGAAGGTCATTATTCTAAGGAAGGAGAGTGAGGGAGATTGTAGAGGACTTGAGAGGGGTCTAGCATAAACGGGTGTGCGTGTTAACCATTCTCAACTATTCATAATACCTGACATATAAAGTGCGTACTATGTGCTCTAAAGTGCTTACTATGTGCTATGTGCCACCCTGTCCTAAAAGCTATACATGTATTAACTCACTTAATCCTCCCAACCATTCTCTGAATTAGGTACTATCATCCCCACTTTACAGATGGGGAAATTGAGGCACAGAGAGGTGATGTAATTTGTCTAAGGTTACACAATTAGTAGGTGGCTCAGAGCCCAGGACCTTGGTCACTATATTGTCAAAGAGTATGTTGCAGAAATTTTACAACCTTGACTGGCATTTATTTAGCTACTAAACTTATTTACAGTATTCTTAATTCATTATTTTCCTTGACACACCTGAAAAACATATTTGCATTGCTATATATATATATATATTTTTTTTTTTTTTTTTAAAGATTGGCACCTGAGCTAACATCTGTTGCCAATCTTCTTTTTCTTTTTTTTTCTTTCTTCTTCTCCTCAAAGCCCCCCTAGTACATGGTTGTATATTGTAGTTGTGAGTGCCTCTGGTTGTGCTATGTGGGACACCGCCTCAGCATGGCTTGATGAGTGGTGCAATGTCAGTGCCCAGGATCCGAACCGCCAAAACCCGGGGCCACCCAAGTGGAGCGCACGAACTTAACCATTTAGCCACGGGGCTGGCCCCTATATATATTTTTTAAATCACAAGACTGGGGAGATTCTGGAGCAGCCTGCCTTGGTGTAGACAAGAAATGATTAACATGGCAAGCTAGTGGGCTTTCATAAAAGATATTGCACCAAAGGAGGCTAAGAACCTTGTTGCTCAGCTGTCTGATAGCAGCTCAGGCTTCCTGCGTGAGCTTGTCTCTCTGATGGGAAAATCCAGGGCTTCAAGCGGGCGTGAACATATGTATAGCCATCAGCTTAATTCACTGTGACAGTTGCCGATCTGTTGCCTCTCAGCTCCAAATGCACCCTTCATTACTAGCTCTGCGGTAATGGACCTGGACCCCGTAGGCAGTTCTCCTTTGCCAGCGAGCGTGGTGTGAAGCTTTGTCAGTAGAGGCTCCTGGTGGGGGACTGGGAGAAGTGGGGGCTCTCTTCCTGGCTGCAGTGGGCTTGCTTCGTCAGGCTCCTGCGGCACGCACAGCCTTTTGTGCAGGCGGCCAGCAGCAGTGGTGCCTTTCTGTGGACACCTCCCTGTGAATGATTTCTGTTGGGGAGCCCCCCTTGGAGGCTTCACAACAAGGTGCCCAAAGTGGGGTACCTCCCCTTGGATGGCTTCCCTGGCATCCCACCAGGTAACTTTGCAGTGATTTCTGGGACATGGTACCCCACCCATGGATGGCTTTCTGAGCACTCCAGAGAGCAGGCTTCTGGAAGGTCTTACCAGTGTGGCCCCTTATGAACTTTCCCACTACCCAGAAAGCCCCGGCTGTACACACCCCAATGAGGTCTAGATCTCACCCCTGGGAAGAGGCAGCCTTTTCCTGAATGTTCTATCTCAGTCTTAGGGGTGACAGCTGCTCTCCGTGTCTGCTATTCCTGTTTTCCTCAGTGCTAGCTTTACTTCTTACAAACCAATCTCTGGTTACTCCCATTCCCTGTTAATAATTCTTTTTTTTTTTTCTTCTTTTTTTGAGGAAGATTAGCCCTGAGCTAAACACTGCCAATCCTCCTCTTTTTGCTGAGGAAGACTGGCCCTGAGCTAACATCCATGCCCGTCTTCCTCTACTTTATACGTGGGACACCTACCACAGCATGGCTTTTGCCAAACAGTGCCATGTCTGCACCCGGGATCTGAACTGGCAAACCCTGGGCCACCGAGAAGCAGAACAAGAAAACTTAACTGCTGTGCCACCTGGCTGGCCCCTGTTAATAATTCTTTATAGTTGACTTTGCTTGTAGAAATTACTGTGTGTTTTCTGTCTCCTGTTTGGATTCTAACTAGTATGTTCACCATATTTTTTTTTTCTTTGAGGAAGATTAGGTCTGAGCTAACATCCACAGCCACCCCTCCTCTTTTTGCTGAGGAAGATTGGCCTTGAGCTAACATCTGTGCCCATCTTCCTCTACTTTGTATGTGGGATGCCTGCCACAGCATGGCTTCATAAGTGGTGAATAGGTCTGTGCCCAGGATCCAAACCAGTGAACCCTGGACCACTGAAGTGGAGCATGTGAACTTAACTGTCAGACCACCAGCCTGGCCCATGTTCACCATAGTTTTTTAGTCCACCATTTAAAATAAAAATGTAGCCTTCTTTATATGGAAAAAATATAAGAATCACGAGAGCAACAAAAACAACATAAAAACACTTTCACCATAAATTTAATAAATCCTAATAAATAAATAATAGATTATTTTGTAAGTTAAAGGCTCTATATCTTCTTTCAATTCTTAGCTCTGCATCTACATGATTCTTACATAGTTATAACCCCTGTGCATGATTGAGTCTGTGCTCTATGTTTATGAGTTTGACATTAGTTTACACAAACAGTTTGATGTAGTCCCATAAGCCACATGTAGCCACTGTCCACACAGTCTTACATTTATCATCATACATGGCAATATAATATTCCGTTTTATTCATATGCTAATGTTTGCATAGCTAGCTCCTAATTGTTGGAGATATTTGGGTTGGTTCCCATTTTTCCATTTAGCAAAAAGCACAGCTTAAAACATCTTTGTTGAGGTTGCATCAACCTCACCTAATTTTTCCCCTTGTCTCTCCCTTTCATACTTCTCTAGCAGCTGGGCTCACCCATTTTCCCACTGGAAGATAAAAGATTACAGGAAAGGGGATGAGAAATACAGGGGGAATGTCTGCCCCAGAAGGAGGATGGAGATTTTGACTGAAGGAAAGACTTCAAGAAGCAGCAGGTCCTCTGAGGAGGTACCTCCTGCCCAGAGCAGAGCCAGTCTCGGGGCGGGGGCAAGAATTGGTTGAAGTGGGGGGACTAAGTGTTGGGAATAAAATCATTCCAGAGACCAAGTCTGTCTTTTCTTGAAAGTCTCATATTGTAACTTGTGACTAATGCATTAGTCACGCTAAGCACGTGGAAACTACACAATATATACTAGAAAAACATTTTAGTTCTCAAAAATAGCCTCAAAATCAGACAATGCTTCAAGTAATTGAGAGTGGGAAGTGCATTGTGATTTCTGCTTTCTGACATTTTAAGCCACCAATAACTCAATTGTTTCCTGAATTCCCAGAGAGTCAGGGAGCACGAAAGGCCCTCTTTGTCATTCAACTAAGTAAATGTTAACCTCGTACTTAAATCTTCTTTTCACAAAAAAGCATTCTTGGTGTGATGTCCCAGAAAGAAGCTTAAGCATAGCACCCTCCGTGTTCTTTGTTTTTTTGATCATGTATGATGTTTATCTAAAAATTCTTTATTTCACACATTCTTAAAAGTAGTTTTGCTGCACATGCAATTCTCAGTTATTGTCTCTTATCGCTTTGAAGATACTGTTCTACAGTTTTCTGGTTTCTGGTGCTGTATAAAAATGTCTGCTGACAACCTAATTGTTTCTTTGTAGGTGACCTGTGTTTTTTCTGCTTCTTGCCCATAAGACCCTCCTTTTGAGTGTAGCCTTCTGCAGTTTTAGTGCAATGTGTCTGAGTGTAGAATTTAAAAAGAATGCTGGCCTTTATTGTAGTGTATATCGTGCTTCCTGTATCTGTGGATTCACAGCAAGCGGTTCCGGACATTCTCCGTCACTCTCTCTTTCAATATTACCTTTTCACCCATTCTCTCTAGTATTTTCTGGGACTCCTATGATTAGTATACTAAATCTTCTCACTCTACCCTCTGTGTTTTAACACTGTCTTCATATTTTCTATCTTCCTGTCTCTCTGTGCTGCATTCTGGGTAATTTCTTCAGACACGCTAGTTAACTGATTCTCTTTTCAACTGGGTCTTATTTATCGCTTAATCCAGCCTAGAGTTCTTAATTTCAATGATTATATTGTTCATTTATAAATGTCTGCCTGGTCGTATTTCATAGACTCTTGGTATTTGCACACAATTGTGACTCCATCCAGGATTCCTTTAAATATTTCGTATGTAATATTTTACATCTTGCATTTGATAATTCCAGTACCAAAGTGGTTGTTTCTGTTTTCTCTTGTACGTGGTGCCTTATTTTCTTGCTGTTGGACGATCTTTCATTCTGAATTCATTTCGCTCTGTCTGTGGGAGTCCTGAGGGCCTAAGTTGGAGTTGTTTGTTCTAGAAGAGGTTTCCATTTGCTTCCTCCATGACACCGAGGGCTGGTTTGGCCCCTTCAAGGGTCAGGATTTACAGTGGAAGACTTCAGTCTGGTGTTCACACCTCACAATGGGCCCAGGGCTTAGTGTCTGATGTTGTCCTGCACTTACCACCTCCTGCTGGGATCTCAGCTCTGGTTCTTTGGGCTCTGGAGGCTTCCTTTGCTATCTGCAGGCCCAGCAGGACACGTTAAAAACCCCATTGTATTCAGGATCTAGTAGAATTGTAGCGGGAGGGCCTTCAGAGGGTCTGCTCTGCCATTCTGCTGGGAATGGATGTCACGTGTTCACAATATTCAGGAAATACGGACACAGCAGCAAAATAGACACGTGCAGGAGACATAGCCTGCGCTTCAAAATTTAAAATAAAGATATAAGAAATAATTAGAGAAAATTTTAAAGTTCTGTCTCTCTTCATATACATGTATGTGTTAACACATACACACACATACATAAATTTTTATATATAATTTAAAAAGTTAGAGATGAATGAAGAGCTGATACCCAAAGTAAGTATAAGATTTCCTTTAAGGGACTGAAGCTGGTGTTGAAGGTGGAGTAAACAGCGTTAACAGAGGCCCCAGGAGGGAGTAAGCAAGGCCT